GATCCGCTTCATCCAAGTCCACACCCAAGCCTAGCACATCCGGAGCCTCATCAGAAAGTCGTTGACCTCTTAGCTGGGTTGGGCTGCGAATGAATTACAGCACGTCAATGGAGAAGTACGATAAACACATTGATGCAGTGAACTCTAAAGAGATAAAACTTGCGTAAACAATTGTAATTGACTAAATATGACGACACGAACATGTTTATTCACTGTAACAAACAAAGGACAGTATAAATGAGTTACTTCGACCTGTCCCCTTGAGAAACAATTTATCTTGCCCTATTGTTACTTTAGTTAGTCAACGAACGAATAGTATTTCATGTTGACAGTCAAAAGTGAATATTGTTAGTGAAAATCCTACCCAGAACACTGCTCAAAATTCGAATGCGGGGGGGGAGAGTTGGCACGTATTATCTGTTCGTTAATTTGCGATTCGGAGCTTTCAACCTGACTGAATGGTTTGGTATAATTTCTATTAAATTTCTCGCATTATTCATCCTGTACCAGTTGAATAATTGTCACGAAGGAGAACAGTTATTGATTAACTAATGTAACGTGTGAAGTTTACCGGTGATTTTGAAATCCCATTCACCGTAATAATTATTCATCCTCTAGTAATGGAATTGGTTACATCAGTCTCACAGCATTGGACAATATGATTCCGTTAGACTGAATTCCAAGAAAAAAAAACAAAGAACAAACACGTTGATGTATCATATACAAACAGAGGAAAAAACCCAGTCACATTACATCCACAATCTAAGCTTTTTCCGTCTGCTCAAAGCTGTCTTTCTTTGGTCAGCAAATAATAGACTAGTTATTTGAGTTCTGAAAGCCCAAGACGGGATAACGGTGACTAGATTCTTGATCTATGCTTGGATCATCAATTTTTTCTTTTGATGGACAAGCTTCAGATATTGTAAACCCTGTTCCACTCGCTACGCGTTAGTCTTCAGCTACCTCACAGGGTTGGATCAATTTAAATGACTCAGCGATCAGATTCACACTTGTCTGAGACCTACCCTATGGTTAGTGTAGTTACATATTGATTAAATCTAAACAGTTCTCCAAGATTTAACATATGTATGCTCAATGAACCGTTCGTATCAACCACGTTTCAGAGACCGGGCATCCTACTGAAGAACAACAGGATCACATTTGAATAGCTTTAAATATACTTTGCTGGTTATTTGACATCCTTATTTATACACTTCTAATTACCATGCCTCTGCAAATCCTGTTTGACTCCTGGACCAGTAACCCTCGAGTCGAGCTAACAGCAGATCTAACAAGGTACACAGCACTTTGAGACACGACCCTATCAGAAGGCTAAGAACAAATCGCGAGATCTGATGATGGTCAGGTCATACAAGGAGAGCGGTGAGTGTCACGGGGAAACTTGCGGAAACCGTTCCAACTCATCTGCGTGACCTATATGAGAAAACGTCCCATAAACGAAACAACCTGTTAATTTGGTAGTGTGTCGCCTGCCTCATGATGTACGACTCGACCTGGAACATCGAGCTGAGGATATCGTATCACCTTTAAGCCGACAGTAAACATCATGGTACTTGGAAAATGATTACTACCATTTGTTCCACCTCGTGTGAAGAGATGAAGCTCTTATAGCACACGCATGTGCAAAACTTTACAAAGCGTCTGATCCGGACAAGCTGCCACTAGAAGCCTTCAAGAACGGGAACGTGTATTGGTGACAGCAATATGCACCATGCTGAAAAATGGTAAACTTCATCGCTATCCACCCATCCTTCCCCCCTCCCCCTCGAATAAATGGGGCAACTCTCACAGTAACTAGGATCTGATTTTCCGTTATTTGGAGGGACACGTATACCTATCCCATGGGTTTTGCTATAATAATTTAGCCCTGACTGTTTGACCCCAACACAACATCCTCCTGCTATTTTCTTACACAAATTTGATTGTAATTGTTTGTGATAACCGACAAAGTGCACTAGACAGCTGTTTTGTCCTGTTTGGGACTCGTCAGCAGTGCGTACTTTTTGTGTCCCTGTCCAAACTCGAACCGCGATTCTTCGGGCTGTGACTTCAAACCCTCAGTTTTGAGCTACATGGTCGACGGTGATCACCTTGTGCCAATGGCTCAGTCATTTTAGATGCACTTAAATGCATTCAACTAGTGGGGACTTAACGACCTCTCCCCTGGTGCCTGTGAAAAACCGATTGGGCTAATCCTAACATTCATCATCTAAAGTGATTGTAATTGATTGAGAGGGAACTCACCGAAACATATATTCGCATGCGATCTGTGTTCTGATTACGACGGTGGGCTTATTTCATGATTTGACCAATAAAAGGTCTTTCAAGGTTGAAATATCACCTACGTCACCATTGCTCTTGAGTACCGTATCGTTGTGAATCTCATTGAGAAACTCTTCTGACATATAAATTATGATCAATGCGCACAAATTCTGCGTTGTGATCTATTCCAAATACGGTTCAAAAATTTTCAATAGCAACTGAAATTCCAACATTCAATTAGCGAGTCCATTTATTTCATGAAGTTATCAGACCTTGTGTTAACTGCAACACTGATTCGTCCCTCGTGATGTCAGACAAAAGTGAGCAATTTTCGAATTATACCACTGGTACAGGTTGTAGAAAAACAGTTTAGTAACATATCTCAAAACCAGTTATATATTAACAACACCGCGAAACCCTGAACCGTATGCTCACTTGAGGGGTAGAGGAGCTCGAGTAGCGTTGATCGGCGATTCGTCCGGTTCTGAATCCCATTCCTCGGAACTGGTAGGTGCCACAGCCGTATTGGATGCCTCTGGTCGATTGAATGTGAGCACACGTTGATCGTGACTGAGCTGAATTGAAGGTGACTTCAGTACGGACGACTTTTCCGGTGTCTTATACGGTGATGCACTTGAACGGGACCGTTGCGGGGAACCGCGTGTCTTTCGGGGCGGTGGTGTTTCCACATTTGACGTGATTTGGCCATGGCCATGACCAGGAGGTGTTCCCAATGCGGATCTTTGGCGTGGTGAGCCTGTGCTTAGTGCGGATCGAGCCGAAGGCAGTTCTTCAGGAACAGTCTCTTCGAATTGCAAGTGAGGACTTGAACGTTGGAGGTAAGATCTGTTTGGAAAAGACAATTCAAAATCTTACATTCGGAATACAAATGACTAACACTTTACATCAGATAGTAGATACAGTTTAAAAGTTTACTTATACTGACTTCACATAGATACATTTAAATTGAAATGAACTTCATTTTCTGAACTACGGTCCATAGGCTAGCTAGTTGTAACAAGAATTACGAAACAAGCACTACACGGACACAAAATAATCACACGTCTGAACACTGTACTGGGGTTTGGAATAATTATTCAAAAGGCAACTTGATATTTTTGTGCTTGACTAGAGATAGTTTTATAATTGAGTGGAGAACAGAAGGAGGAAGAGTATTCAATAGTTTAGCAGCTTTTAAAAGCTGGCGTTTGATGAGTTTCTACAATCACTTTGTCAATTTTGGTCTAACGTTGATGACCGAGTTCCACGAGTACACGACAATGGAGGAGATGAAGGAGAGAAGAGATCGGCAAACTCAGAACGAGATAGATCCGTCCTAACAACGATAGAAAGCGTCAGGCCAATGACTGCACGGTGATGACCAAGTGATTGAAAACGGTGTGTTTATGGTGTCTCAGTGACAGAATAATATCCAACTGGATCAAAGTAGGGACCACATCCCCAGACGTGGCCAAAACACATCAGAGTGAAATGCTGTTC